AAGCAGCGAGACCATCGCGTCGCAGATGCAAGGTGCACTCAAATTGAGCCTCAATCAAACGTCATGTCCTTGTGAGATCCTTGTGGCAATTTCGGGCATGAGCTCATTGTTGGCAGCGTAGTCAGGTCACGCGCGGCGCCGCGATGCCGCAGAGCAACGGCGCAGGCACTGCTGGCCAGCAGAGCAGCGGTGCGGCCGCGGGCCTCGCCGGCAACATCGCCGCCGCGGCCATCGCCGGCGTCGCGCAGCCGTCGCTCTTCAACGCCGTGGACTGCCTGCGCATCCGCTGGCAGGCGTCGACGGAACGAACGACGGGCGTGCTCCAGTTCGCGCGGCGCGTCGTGCAGCGCGAGGGCCTCTGGCGCGGCCTCTGGCGGCCGGGCCTCGCCGCCAACGTCCTCGCGGTGTCGACGTCGCAGGGCGCCCGCATGGGCTTCTACCCGGTCGCGCGCGACGCGCTCGCGCCCGGCGACGGGCCGAAGGCGCCGGCCGCGATGGCGGCGGCGGGCCTGCTCTGCGGCTCCGCGGCGTACCTCGCGACGGCGCCGTTCTGGCTTCTCAAGACGCGGGCGCAGGCCGCGGCGGAGCTCGACGGCCGCGCGCCGCTGCTGCTGCGGCGGGACCTCGTGCCGCGCCGCCTCTGGAAGGGCGCGTCCGCGCTCGTGGTCCGCGGCGGCTGCATCACCTGCGGCCAGATGCTCGGCTACGACTTTTGCAAGTCGCGGCTCAAGGCCCGCGGCGTCGCCGACGGTCCGCTGCTGCACCTCGTCGCGTCGACGTCGGCGGCCCTGGCGGCGACGATCCTCGCGGCGCCCGCGGACGCGCTCCAGACGCGCTACCAGGCGTCGCGGACGAGCGGCTCCGTCTGGGACTGCGCGCGCGACATGGCGCGGCGCGGCGGGCCCGCCGCCTTCTTCCGCGGCTGCGCGGCGCAGTACGCGCGCCTCGTCGGGACCTTCGCCCTGGGCACGACGATCTACGAGCAGGCGCGGGCCGCGCTGGGGCTCGGCTTCCTGGACTAGAGGTAAGCTGGTGGCGGATCCGGCGGCCCGGTGAGTGAAGTCGATGTTTTCCCCGCAAAGGAATGCAGCACACTTCGGACGCTGCCCGCACACCGGAGTGGCCGCTGTGGCGTGTTGTCACGTCACAGCGTCCTCTTCGGTGAGTTTTGGATGCTGCGCGTCGTCGCCGCGGCGCTCTCCGCCGCCGCCGCCGCCGCCGAGTCCAACCGGACGGCCTCGCGGCTCGGGCGGCTCCAGGACATCGACGACTGGCTGTCGAACGCGAGCGGCGGCCCGCCGCGGCACTGGAGGGTTCGGTCGCCGGCCGACGTCTCCGGCAATAGCACGGCGCTCGTGGAGAGCTACCAGAAGGAGGTGAATATCTCGCGGCTCGCGGGCTCGGCCGCGCCCGTCGTCGTCAAGGCCCTGCAGAACGCCGGCGCCTTCGCGTTCGGCCACCGCGAGAGCGACATCGCCTATTTCGAATTACTGTACCTCGAATGGCTCCGCGGCGAGCCGGGCATCCCGTGGCTCTGGGGCGGGTGGACGACGCCGAGCCGCGTCGTCTGGGTCGTGTCGCACGGCGGCGACCGCGTCGGCACGGGCAAGGCGCTCTCGACGCACCGCGCCCACTTCTCCCCGGCCTACGAGCGGCGCGCGCGGGAGCGGCCCCTCGACCTCGCCAGGGCCTGGCTCCGCTGCTTCCGCAGCTTCGCCGAATGGGGCGGCTTCGTGCTGACGGACTTCAAGCCGGAGCAGTCCGCGCCCGCGTCGCGTCGTCTGGAACCTTAAAGAAAGACGCGCCCTCCACAGGTTCACCCTCGACGCCAAAGGCGACATCTACCTCGTCGACGGCCCCGCGCCGAACTCGGGCCCCGTCGCCGCCTTCGCGCGGCGCCGCTTCCGGTCCGGCGGCGACGCGATCTACGTGCCGGGCGACGCGCGGCCCAAGCACGTGGACCTCGAGCCCGGCGCGGCCTGGCCCTGCGCCTGGAAGTGCCGGAAGCGGACCTACGCGCACCACCACTGCGCGGGCGAGAACTACTGCGAGAACCACGACCCCGGCGCGCCGGAGATCACGGCCTGCCGCGGCGGCGCGTGCGCGCGCTTCGACGGCCGCGTCCACGTCCACGACGCCGCGGCTCGGGGATGGGTGCTGCCGCACATCATCGCGCTCGCGGAGGACCGCGCCGTCGCGAGGCGGCTCGAGACGCTCCGGGCGATCATGACGCGCGAGGACCCGCGGGACCGACCGACCTTCGACGGCATCCTGCGATTCCTCGGCCGGCCCTAACGCAGTGGAATAGCGCTCGTCGCCAGGCCGAGGAACGCGTCCGTGGGGAACGAACCCAGTGTATGTTTAGTCCGGCGGATGCTGGCCGCCCTCGGCGGCGGCGGCGGCGGCGGCGGCGCCGGGCTCCTCGACGCCCAGGGGCAGCGGGGGAAGCGGCGGGGGGGTCGGACCGGGCTGATCTGCGAGGCCGAGGAACGCGTCGGTGGGGAAAGACGCGTCCTCGAAGAGCGGGTAGACGGCCGCGACGAAGGACTCCTTCGGGAGGAGCTCGAAGACGGGGAAGCTCATCTGCCGGAAGCTCGCGACGTCGCTCGACGCGCCCCAGAACCAGAGGTAGGACCGCTTCGTGAGCCGCGCGAGGTCCGCGTCGACGCCTCGCGCCCGCGACGCGCGCATCCGGTCGCGCACGCGGTCGGCGACCTGGGGCCCGCCGACGTCGATGAGCCGGCTCAGGCAGTGCATGACGCCCCGGCTGAGCCACAGGAGGCACTTCGACGTCGCCGTCGACCCCGGCAGCTTGAGCTGCTCGGCGACGCGCACGACGGCGTCGAGCGCGCCGCCGTCGACGACGGCCCGGGCGTGCCAGGGCGCGAGCTCGCCGAGGAGCACCATGGCCATCTGGCGCCGCTCGTAGGTCAGCGGGCCCCAGGCCGCGGTCGGCCCGAGCGTGCTCCGGAGCATCGCCGTCGCCGACGCGACGGCCGGGAGGAGCGGGCCCGGGTCGCCCGCGAAGGCGCCGGCCTTGACGAGCTTGACGAGGACCTCGGCGCACGTGCGGTCGGCCGTGAATTCCACCTGCATGTCCTCCGCGAAGGAGCCCGAGTGCACCGTCGACATGCGGAAGCCCATGGCGTCGAAGTCGCGCAGGTGCGTGCGCCGCGTGTAGGCGTCGAGCGCCTCGCCCGAAAACCCGATGACCTCCGCGAGCGCGGCCGCCATCGCCGGCGTCGCGAGCGCCGCCGCGACCTCCGGCGTCTGCGCGAGCGTCTTGAGGCACTGGCCGAAGCGCAAACCGTGGCCCCGCTTCACCAAATCCACGTAGGCCGCGACGGTCGCCGGCGCGAGGAACGCGTCCCGCGCGGGGCCCGGCGGCACCATCGTCGGCTCGTTCTGCGGGTCCACGAGCAGGAACGAGAGCGCGCCGACGGCCCAGCAGACCTCGGAGCAGTCGTCGAAGCGCGTCGACGTGCACCTGGGCAGGAACGCGACGATGGCCTCGACGAGGCTCGCGGACGCGCAGGCCGCCTTGTCGGCGGGCGCGGCGCAGTAGAACGCGAGGCCCAGCGTGTCGAGCGCGGCGGAGAGGAGGCCCGACGACGCCGTCGGCGCGCGGAGGATGGCCTCGAGGGACGCCAGCAGCCCGAACTCGACGACCTTCTTGCAGATGGCGTGGCGGATCTCCGCCGCGTCGAGCGTGCGGAAGAACTCGGAGATGGCGTCGCTCGCGCGGACCGCGAGGAGCGTCGACGGGCCCGACGCCTCGAGCGCCGCCGCCGCCGCGCGGCGGAAGGTCTCGCAGAGCGTCTGGAGCACCTTGGCGCCGAAGAGCGGCAGGATGTCGCACCGGTCCTCCGCCGCGAACTTGATCATGACGACGACGGCGTCGCACGCGCGCGTCGCCGCGAGCTCCGCGCGCGCGCCGGAGAAGTCGTCGTCGGGCGCCGGCGCCGGCGGCATCGCGATGCGCGCGACGAGGCCCGCCGCGACGGCGCCGTCGACCGCGAGGCGCCCGGCGCGCTCGCGCGCCGCCCGGCCGCCGTCGGCCCAGGACCAGAAGCTCAGCGGCGCGTAGGTCAGCGCCGTCGCCTTGTTCACGCGCTCCAGGCGCACGGGCAGCGTCGGCGCCCACCCTTCCTGGAGCAGCACGATGAAGGCCTCCTCGCCGACGGCGCTCGCGTAGCGGCGCCGCCGCGCGCGCGTCGGCGCGACGGTGCGCCGGTTCGTGTGCTCGATGGAGACGGACATCGGCCCGCGTCAACACTGTGTCATTTGCCACAAGATGAATCGCTGTTGAGCTTCGGCCGGGCTCGAGCCGAGCTCTCACGCACGCGCCGCCGCTCCGCAGTGCTTCCGCGCCTCGCTGCACAAGCATGAAGACCGTCGTCGCCGCCGCGCTCGTCGCCTGCATCTCCGCGCACTGCCAGGTGCCCTGCGGCATCTTCGACGACCCGGCGTTCGTCGCCGAGATCCGCCAGCACACGTCGACGATCAAAAAGGCCATGGCGCAGATCACGGCCCTCTCGAGCGAGGCGACGCCGCTCGCGTTCAACCAGATGACGCGCTGGGTCAACAACAAGGAGAGCCACGCGGAGAAGATCATCACCGCCGTCTCCGAGTACTCGCTCTGCCAGCGCGTCAAGCCCTTCGGCGCCGCGGGGACGCCCTTCGCGAGCCAGGAGGACTACGTCGACGCGCTCCTCGCGCACCACGCGGTCATGACGGCCGCCATGAAGGCGAAGCAGAACGTGGACCCGTCCTTCGCCGAGGCCCTCGAGCACGCCGTCGACGACTTCTCGAAGATGTACCTGCCCGTCGACGAGGCGGAGCTCTAATGCGTACTAGTCGAGCCAGGACTCCTCGCCGTCCTCGGCGACGGCCTCGAGGGCGGAGCCCTGCTGGGAGACCGCGAGGCTCACGCTGCCCTGGGCGCTGAGGAGGCCCTCGGCCTCGGCCGCGGACGCGGCCGCGTAGCGCCGGTCCACGAAGAGCTCGTCGGCCGGGTCCGGGTCCCAGCACTTGAGCGTGCGGTCGAAGGACGCGGAGACGAGGAGGCCGTCGTTCTGGGCGAGGGCGACGGCCATGACGCGGTCCGCGTGGCCCTCGAGCACGCGGTGGTCGTAGTTGTGGACGTTCCACTTGTCCTCCCAGACGCGGATCGTGTAGTCCTTGGCGCCCGTGACGAGGCGCCCGTCGGCGAGGCAGGCGACGGCCGTGATGTGGTGCGTGTGGCCCAACAGCACGGCGAGCTGGTCGCCCGTCTTCGCGTCCCACGTCCGCGCGGACTTGTCCTGCGACGCCGTCGCGACCCGCCGGCCGTCGACGAAGAACTTGGCGCAGAGCACGGCGGCCTCGTGGCCCCTGAGCGTCAGGAGGAGCCGCCCCGTGGACCCGCCGCCGCCGTCCCAGTGGCCGTCCCAGATCCGCGCGAGGCCGTCCCTGGACGCGCAGACCACTCGGTCGCCGCGGCGGTCGTAGGACGCGTGGTGCACGTAGTGGACGATGTCGTTGGTCTTGCGGTGGCCCGACTTTTTGTCGAGGAGCGCCATGCGCTTCTTGCCCGTGACCGCGTTCCAGACGACGGCCGTCTCGTCGTAGGACCCGGACACGAGGCGGCCCCCGTCGACGTTGAACTCGACGGAGCTGACGTAGGCGGTGTGGCCCTTGAGCTGGAGCTGGATCTTGCCCGTGGCCAGGTCGAAGACGCGGACGAGGTTGTCGCGGCAGCCCGTCGCGAGGCTCGCGCCGTCGGGCGAGAAGGCCACGGCGGACACGAGCGCGCCGAAGCCGCCGCGCTGCTGGAAGCCCGTGCGCTTGCCGTGGCCCTCGAGGACGCGCACGAGGTCGCCCGTCGTCGCGTCCCAGACGCGCGCCGTGCCGTCCTCGGAGCCCGACGCGAGGAGCTTGCCGTCGTTGGAGCACGCGCACGAGAAGCACTCGCGGCGGTGGCCGGCGCACGTGAAGACGGAGTCGTCGCGCGCGGGGTGCGTGCGCTCCCGCCGCTCGTCCTTGGCCCGCTCGCCGACGGCGACGGCGCCGACGGCGGCGATGGCCATCTGGCCCGACGCGGCGCCCTGCAGGGCTCGCTGCCGCGCGCGCGCGACGAGCGGCGACCGCTCCGTGGCCCCGGACTTCTGCATCGACGACTTGTGCGACCCGACGGACGGCGCCGTGAGCGTCGTCTGCGACGACGACGTCGACCCGTGCTCGAGGGACCTGGGCAGGACAAGGGTGCGAAATTCCCAACTTCAAAGGCTCCTCTCTCGGCCATTTTCCACTCGTTTCGGCTGATTTTTGGACAAGCGATCATCTCTCGGAGCGGTCTCGAAGCGTGGATGCTTTTTTCGGAACGCGCGCGCGCGGAACACTCACGTTGAAGCGACGTTGAATCACCCTTGTCCTGCCCTGCCAGGGACCGCGCGTGCACGGACCGGGGCGCGGCCGCGACGTCGCCCGCGGCGCCGTAGGAAGGCTCCTCCTTCGGCGCCGCCTCCTCCTCGGGCACCACGGCTTCCTTGGGCTTGTGGTCGAAGGCGAAGAAGGCGGCGCCGCTCTCCGCGGCGGCCTTGATCTTCGCCGCCGTCTCCGCCTCCTGGGCCTTGACCCGCGCCTCCTGCGCGGCCTTGGCCTCCGCGGGCGTCATGACGACGCGCTTCGCCTTGCGGCGCTGGCGCGGCTTCGGCTTGCGGGCCTGCTCCTTGGCCTCCTCCTCGGCGACGAGGGCCGCCAGGGATTCCCGGAGCTCGCGGCCCGCGACCTTGCGCGCGGGCGACCCGGCCTCTTGCGCGAGGAGCGTCGACGTGCTCGCGGTCTGGCGCCGCTCGCGGAACGAGGCCTTGGCCGCGGCCGACGCCTGCTCCTGCTCGCCGCGCTCGCGCGCGCGCGCCGCCTCCTGGAGCTTCTTGAGCTCGGCCTGCGCGGCCGCGACCTCGGGGTCGGCCTGCCACATCGCGAGGCTCTGCCGTCGCCGGATTTTCGGGGCATCCTGGAGCGCCGTGAACTTGGCCTCGGGGAGGTCCTCGCGCGGGGCCTCGAGCTTCTCGAGGTCCTTCTTCATGCGCTCGAGCATGAAGCGCGTCTGCCGGTTGCCGATGTGGCCCGTGCCGTCGTCGCCCTCCCATGCCGCCACCGACGACCGCCGCTTGTTCTTCTTCGCCGCGAGCTGCGTCTTGCGCCGCCGCTGGCCCACGTCCGACACGCCGTAGCCCATGCCGCTTTTGTCCGCGCTACCGCGACGCGCTCCTCATGCTATCGGGCAGCACCCATTGCTAACGCTTCGGCAATGACGCCTCAACAAGTGCTTCATATCCGCCATTGAAGCGGATTACGCGGCGAGGGCCTCGAGGAGGTAGGCGCGGTGGCGGTCGCGGACCTCGGCGGAGACGCCGCCGCGCTGGGGCCGGCGCGGGGCGCGGGCCTCGAGCTGGTGGAGGGTCTGGACGATGGGCTCCCGGCTCGCGGCCGTCGCCGCGGGCGGCGCGCCGTCGGCCGCGGCGTCGTGGTCGTCGTGGTCGTCGTCGGCGGCCGCGCCGAAGTCGTCGCCGAGGTCGCCGTAGAGGTCGTCGCCGCCCAGATCGCCGTAGAGGTCGTCGTCCGCGCCGTCGTCGCCCGCGGCGCCGCCGTCGGCGTCGGCGTCGTCGGGCGCCGCGCCGTCGTCCGCGGGCGCGTCGGCGGCGCCGTCGTCGTCGAACTCGCTCTCCTCGAGGGCGGCGTCGCCGCGGGCCCGGCTCAGCGCCGCGAAGAGCGCGTCGTCGCCGAGGAGCGTGCGCGACACGGGCACCTGGAGGAACGCGCGCCGCGCGCGGAGCCGCCGCTCCTCGTCGGCGTCGAAGGGCGCCTCCGGCTCGGGCTCCGGCTCGGGCTCGGGCTCCGGCGCGGCCGGCGGCGGCGGCGGCGGCGGCGGCGGCGGCGGCGCGGCGGCCTCGGGCTCGGCCGCGGGCGGCGGCGGCGGCGGCGCTCCGGGCGGCGGCGGCGGCGGCGGCGGCGGCGGCGCGCCCGGCACGCCGCCCATGGCGGCCATGAAGGCCGGCGGCGGCGCGGGGAACTGGCCGGGCTGGAAGGGCGTGAGCACCTGGGGCGCGCCCATCGGCGGCGGCGCGCCGCCCATGAACGGCGGCGGGAAGCCGCCCGGCGGCGGGAAGCCGCCGCCGCCGCCAGGGGCGGCGGCGCCATCATGCCGCGCGGCGGGCCGCCGGGGCCGCCCCAGGGCGGCGGCGCGCCGCCGCCGCCGCCGCCGCCCCACGGCGGCGGCGCGCCGGGGCCGTAGTGGCCCGCGTTCGACGGCCCGGCGTCGCGCTTCGGCGACCGCCGCCGCGACCGGTCGCGGCTCCGGCTCCGGCTCCGGCTCCGCCGCCGCGACCGGTCGCGGTCGCGCGACCGGCTCCGCGACCGGCGCGACTTCTTCTTCTCCGGCGACCGGCTCCGCGACCGCTTGCGGCGCGACGACTTCTTCTTGTCGTCGTCGTCGCCTTTGTCCTTGTCCTTTGAAGGTGGGGAGAAGTTGCCGGCCATGGTGGCAGCAGCTCGCGCGGCGAGTTTGCGGCCGGCGCCGATGCGCGCGCGCAGCCTCGTCGAGCGCCACTCGCCGCAGCGCCGCGCCGGGGGTCGATCACGAGTCCGACTCGAACGCGCGCGGCGCGCGCCGCCACCCGTGCGCGGCCACGCTCGACCGCAGCAGCGGGCTGCTGAAGGCGGCAGGATCGGTCGCGGCGCGCGCGCTCCCGACCGAGGCTATTGAGGTGCGTTTGAGACTATATGAAGGCGCGCCTGCGTTTGCCTGAGCGCGCGCGCGCCTTGGTGCGGCGCGCGCGCGGGGAGCTTGGGACCGCGGCGCGGAGCAGGCGCCTACATCCGGATGCCCGTGGCGTGGCGGCCCCCGAGCACCATGGCGGGCCCGGAGGCCGCGGCCGCCGGCGCCTGCGCCGCGCGCGCGCGCGCGGTCGCCTGCGTACCCGGCGTTGCGGACACGGACCTGAAGATCATCGGCTACACGACCGTGCGCACGAGCGTCAAGGCGACGCCCAACGCGGCCACCTACCACCCGGCCCTCTAGAGGCCCGGGTGGTAGCTCGCAAGAGGAGGACCCCACGAGAGACTCGCCCGGCCCACTAGTGCGGCCCGGGCCGGCGTGAGAGCGGCCCCTAGTAGGTAGACTTCATAATAGAACTTCGCCCCAGAAACCCGTTCACACGCCTACTTTTAGACGGTCTTCCTTCGCCACCCCGGCGCGTCAAGATCTCCCGCGCGGGCGGGCCCCACGCGAGGCCTCACGCGCGAACGCGACCGGGCTTGCCCCGGCCGGATCGCAACTTGAGCTCAGGCTCTGCGCGTGCGTAGAGGTGTGGACGGGCTCTGAACGAAGCGCCCAGTGCATGCGAATTATGCGCCCGCGCAACACGGCAGCGTTGCTGCTGGTCGCGGCTACGGCCGTGACCGCCTTCCAGTTCTCGCTGACGCCGAAGCGGGTCAAGACGTCCGTTCTGACGTCGTTTTCGCCGCCGGGAGCGAAACTCGCCGAGACGGCCCTGAAGTCGGCCGTGCTCGACGCGCCCGCGTCGGCGGGCGCATCCATGGAGGACCCGCTGGTGCCGACGCCGCGTCCCAACGAACCCCGAAACCGCGCGACCCCGAAATTCCATCCGCGCGCAGGCCGAGTACGTCAAGGCCAAGGGCGGGTCGCGGATCATCCGCAAGGTGCTCATCGCGAACAACGGCATGGCGGCTACCAAGTCGATCATGTCCATGCGGCGCTGGGCCTACCTCGAGCTCGGCGACGAGAAGGCCATCTCCTTCGTCGTCATGGCGACGCCCGAGGACCTCAACGCGAACGCGGAATTCGTGCGCCTCGCGGACGAGTACGTCGAGGTGCCCGGCGGCTCCAACGCGAACAACTACGCCAACGTCAAGCTCATCGTCGACGTCGCCGGCCGCAGCGGCGTCGACGCCGTCTGGCCCGGCTGGGGCCACGCGTCCGAGAATCCGAAGCTCCCCCGCGCCTTGAAGGCGGCGAACATCGCGTTCATGGGCCCGCCCGCGCCCGTCATGTCCGTCCTCGGCGACAAGATCGCCGCGAACATCCTCGCCCAGACGGCCAAGGTGCCCTCCATCCCCTGGAGCGGCTCCTACGGCAACCCCGGCGACGACGGCCCGCTCCAGGCGCGGCTCCAGGACGACGGCACGATCCCGCAGGACACCTTCGATGCCGCCTGCGTGACCACCGCCGACGAGGCCCTCGCCGCCGCGGAGCGCGTGGGCTACCCCGTCATGCTCAAGGCCTCCGAGGGCGGCGGCGGCAAGGGCATCCGCATGAACAAGGACGCCACGGAGCTCGCGGCGAACTTTCCGTCCGTCGAGGCCGAGGTGCCCGGCTCGCCCATCTTCATCATGCAGCTCATGACGGGCGCGCGCCACCTCGAGGTCCAGGTCGTCGGCGACGAGCACGGCAACGCCGTCGCGCTCAACGGCCGCGACTGCTCGACGCAGCGCCGCTTCCAGAAGATCTTCGAGGAGGGTCCGCCGACGAAGCCGTCCGGCGGCATCGCCCAGCCCGACATCTTCGCCGACATGGAGCTCAAGGCCAAGAAGCTCGTCCAGAACATCGGCTACGTCGGCGCGGGCACGGTCGAGTACTTGTACGACGCGAAGACGGACGAGTACTTCTTCCTCGAGCTCAACCCGCGGCTCCAGGTCGAGCACCCCGTCACGGAGGGCGTCACGGGCGTCAACCTGCCGGCGACGCAGCTCCAGGTCGCCATGGGCATCCCGTTGCCCAACATGCCCGAGATCCGCCGCCTCTACGGCCTCGCGCACGACGACGAGGCCACGACGCTCGACCTCGACGACCCGGACACCAAGTACGAGCTGCCCGAGCGCCACGTGCTCGCGGCGCGCATCACGGCGGAGAACCCCGACGAAGGGTTTAAGCCGACGTCCGGCAAGATCGAGCGCGTGTCGTTCCAGTCGACGCCGAACGTCTGGGGCTACTTCTCCGTCGGCGCGAACGGCGGCGTCCACGAGTTCGCCGACTCCCAGTTCGGCCACCTCTTCGCCACGGCGACGAACCGCGAGGACGCGCGCAAGGCCATGGTCCTCGCGCTCAAGGAGCTCACGGTCCGCGGCGAGATCCGCAACCCCGTCGAGTACCTCGTGTCGCTCCTCGAGACGGACGACTTCAAGGCCAACAACATCGACACGTCCTGGCTCGACGGCATCCTGGCCGCCAAGTCCATCAACAACAAGGTCGACGACGCCGTCGTGGTGGCGTCCGCGGCCGTGTTCCGCGCGCACGAGACGTGCAAGGCCGCGCGCGCCGAGTTCGAGGCCGCGCTCGCGCGGGGCCAGTTCTCCACGGCGGCCCTCGACGCGCTGGACGACTTCGACGTCGACATCGTCGTCTCCGACGTCAAGTACGTCGTCAACGTGAAGCGCACGGGCGCGTCGTCGTTCTCGCTGAGCACGAACGGCGGCGCGGCCTTCGCGGCCAAAGTCCGCGAGCAGCCCGACGGCACGCTCCTGGCCAACTTCGGCGGCGTGTCGCGCAAGCTCGCGGGCCTCGAGGAGCCCCTGGGCCTGCGCATGGTCGTCGACGGCGCGACGGTCTTCGTGCCCCAGGCCTTCGACCCGTCCGAGGTCCGGTCGGACGTCACGGGTAAAATCGTGCGCTGGCTCAAGGACGACGGCGACGGCGTCGCCAAGGGCGAGACCTTCGCCGAGGTCGAGGCCATGAAGATGATCATGCCGCTCAAGGCCGCCGACGCGGGCAAGATCTCGACGGCCGTCGCCGCGGGGTCCGTCATCGAGACGGGCGACCTCTTGGCGAACCTGGAATTGGACGACCCGTCGAAGGCGCGGTCCATCTCCTTGTTCGAGGGCACGCAGCTCGACCTGCCGGGGCTCGCGGCGACGGGCGACGCGGCGACGGACGCGCTCCGCGCCTACGAGGCGTCCGTCGACACGCTCTCCAAGGCCATGGACGGCTACGACGCCTTGCAGGGGTCGTCGGCGGAGGCGGCCGTCGGCGTCTTCGTCGACGCGTTAAGGGCGACGGGCGTCTTCAAGCTCCAGATCCGCGACCGCGCGGGCGCCATCGGCCAGAAGATGCCCGCGGACTTGGACGCGACGCTCGCGGCCGTCGACGACGGCTTCGACGCCGCGGACCTGACGGCCGCGCTCGCCGCGTACGACGAGCCCGCGCTCGCGCCGCTCGCGGATTTGGCCGCGGTCTGGGCCGGCGGCCCCAAGGGCGTCGCCGTCGACGCCGTGGCGTCGCTCCTCGAGCAGTTCCTCGCCGTCGAGGAGCGCTTCGTGGGCCGCGCGGACGAGGACACGGCGATCCGCGAGATCGTCAAGGGCGAGTCCGGCGACGCCGCGGCGTCGCTGCTCCTCGCGCACGCGAAGCTCGGGTCCCGCGCGACGCTCGTCAACTCCGTGCTCCGCGCGTTACCCAAGCTCAACGCGCTCGACGGCGACGCGGCGAACGCGGCGCTGAAGCTGAGCGCGCAGCTCGAGCGCGTCGCCGCGCTGGAGACGGTCGGCCCGGCCTACGCGGGCGTCGCGCTCGCGGCGGGCGTGTCGCGCCTCGAGGCGAACGTGCCGCCCTTCGAGGCGCGCGTCGACATGATGAAGGCCGACCTCAAGCAGGCTTTGAAGGACGGCGCGCTCTCGGCGTTCGCGAAGAACCCGAAGCTCGGGTCCTTCGACCGCGGCGTCGACGTGCTCACGGAGCTCTTCTCCGACGCCGACGCGGACGTCGCGGCGGCCGCCGCCGAGGTCTACGTGAAGCGCATGTACAGCGGCCACGACATCCTCGCCATGGACGTCGGCGCGAACGCGGCGGGCGCGCTCGAGGCGCGCTGGTGGTACAAGTTCCGGTCCGAGGACCGCGACGCCGCGCCGCTCCGCTTCGGCAAGCTCGTGCTCTTCGACGACGCCGACGCGGCCTGCGGCGGCATGCCCGGCGTGCTCGACTCCTACACGGCGGACCTCAAGGAGGGGCTCGCGGCGCACGCGGCCTGGGCCGCGGCGAACGACGACACGACGGACCTCAACACGCTCCACGTCATGCTCAAGTCGTCGGAAGCCGACAAGGACGACGCGTCGCTGATCGCCCAGGTCGAGGCGTCCCTGGAGCAGGTGCAGTCGCAGGTCGGCGCGACCTTGTTACGTTCGGTCAACATCCTCGCGACGGACGCGCCGCTCTACCCGCGCTACTTCACCTTCGTGAACCCGGCGTGCTCCGGCGGCGCGCCGGGCGCGTTCAAGGAGGACCCCATGCGCCGCGGCATGCGCCCGACCTTCTACCACCTGCTGGAGCTCGGCACCGTCGAGAAGAACTTCAAGATGACGCCCGTGCAGACCGTGAACCGCGACCTGCGCATCTACATCGGCGACGACCGCGCGGCCAAGGTGCCGAAATTGGCCGCCCAGTCCGTCTTCGTGCGCCGCGTGTCCCATTCCACCGATTTGGCCGACGGCGGCGCCGCGCGGCTGCTCGACAAGGCGCTCGACGCGCTCGACATGGTCATGCTCGACTCGCGCGTGAAACCGACGGCTTCCGGCCGCATCTTCATCAACGTCATCCCCGAGGTCGTCAAGGACGACGGCTCGCCCATGGACGTCGCGCGCCTCGAGCAGGTCTTCAAGCAGGTCGTCGGCGAGCTCCTCGCGTCGCGCGCGCGGCGCTTGCTCGCGGCGCGCGTCGACGAGATCGAGATCAAGTTCGCGAGCCGCGAGTCCGAGTCCAAGGTCGTCTCCGCGCGCTGCGTCGCGACGTCGGCCGAGGGCCCCTGGCTCCAGCTCCGCACCTACATCGAGAAGACGGACCCGGTGACGGGCGTCGCCACGGCCTACTGCGACCTCGACGGCTCGTCGTGCGTCGTCGACCCCTACCCGGCGGCCGACGCCGTCGGCAAGAAGCGCGCGAACGCGCGCCGCGTCGGCACGACCTACGTCTACGACTTCGTCGGGCTCCTGGCGACGGCGCAGCTCGACGCGTGGAAGTCGCGGGCCGACGACGTCAAGGAGCTGACGGGCGCGGACCTCGAGATCCCGGACATCTCGTCCATCGTCGAGGCCAAGGAGCTGCTCCTCGACGATGCGGCGGAGCACGGCGTCTCGACGGCGTCGACGCGCCCCGTGGGCACGAACGACGTCGGCATGGTCGGCTGGACCTGCGCGTTCAAGACGCCCGAGTACCCGGAGGGCCGCGAGGTCGTCATCGTCGCCAACGACGTCACGTACCAGTCGGGGTCCTTCGGCGTGTCCGAGGACGACTTCTTCTACAAGGTCACGCGGTACGCGGCGTCGCGCGGCGTGCCCCGGCTCTACATCTCGTCGAACTCGGGCGCGCGCATCGGCCTCGTCGAGGCGCTCAAGCCCCTCGTGGGCATCAAGTGGGTCGGCGACGACCCGTCCAAGGGCCTCGAGTACCTCTACGTGTCCGAGGCGGACCTCAAGTCGCTGCCCGAGGGCTCCGTCGACGCGAAGCCGGCGAACGCCGCGGGCCACTGCGAGCTCGAGGCCATCATCGGCGCCGGCGACCAGGTGCCCGACGGCATCGGCGTCGAGAATTTGGCGGGCTCGGGCCTCATCGCGGGCGTCACGAGCCGCGCGTACGAGGAGACGTTCACGCTCTCCTACGTCTCGGGCCGGTCCGTGGGCATCGGCGCGTACCTCAACCGCCTCGGCCAGCGCATCATCCAGATGAAGCGGGGTCCCATGATCCTCACGGGCTTCCAGGCGCTCAACAAGTTGTTGGGCAAGAAGGTCTACACGTCGCAGGACCAGCTCGGCGGGCCCCAGGTCATGGTGCCCAACGGCGTCACGCACTTGTCCGTCGACGACGACTACGAGGGCTGCCAGGCCATCGTCAACTGGCTCTCCTACGTGCCCGAGACGGCGTCGAGCCCGCCGTCGCAGCTCGCCGTCGCCGACCCCGTGGACCGCAAGGTCACCGCGCGGCCGCCGGCCGACGGCACGCCCTACGACGTCCGCGAGATCCTCGACAACGCCGAGGGCACGGGCCTCTTCGACAAGGGGTCCTTCACGGAGACCCTCGCGGGCTGGGGCAAGACGGTCGTCGCGGGCCGCGCGAAGCTCGGCGGCATCCCCTTTGGGGTCATCTCCGTGGAGACGCGCACGGTCGAGGCCGTCGTGCCCGCGGACCCGGCGAACCCGGACTCGCGCGAGGCCGTCAAGCCCCAGGCGGGCCAGGTCTGGTACCCCGACAGCGCGCACAAGACGGCGACGGCCATCGCGGACTTCAACCGCGGCGAGCGGCTGCCCCTGCTGGTCCTCGCGAACTGGCGCGGCTTCTCCGGCGGGACGCGCGACATGTACGACGAGGTCCTCAAGTTCGGCGCGAAGATCGTCGACGAGCTCACCAAGTACGACATGCCCGTCTTCGTCTACATCCCGCCGAAGGCCGAGCTCCGCGGCGGCGCCTGGGTCGTCATCGACCCCTCCATCAACAGCGACGTCATGGAGATGTACGCGGACCCCGAGGCGCGCGGCGGGATCCTCGGCCGGAGACAGGTCAGGTCATGCACCGCACGGACCCGGAGCTCATCGAGCTCGACGCGGACCCGGCGGGCAACGCCGACGCCATCGCCGCGCGCGAGGCCAAGCTCGCGCCCCTCTACCAGCAGGTCGCCGTCGAGTTCGCGGATCTGCACGACCGCGCGGGCCGCATGAAGGCCAAGGGCGTCATCCGCGACGTCGTCGCCTGGGAGGGCGCGCGGTCCTACTTCTACGCGCGCGCGGCGCGCCGCCTCGCCGTCGACGCCGTGGCCAAGGCCATGGTCGCCTCCGGCGGCGCGGCGACCCTCGCCGACGCCGCGGCGACCGTCGAGGCGACGGTGCGGGCCGACTGGGCCGACGACGGCGCGGTGCTCGACTGGCTCCGGTCCAACGAGGCCGCCGTCGCGGCCCTCCTCGCGGAGAGCGAGAAGGCCGGCGTCGTCGCCAAGCTCAAGGCCCTCTTCCAGGGCCGCGACGACGCCGAGGCCCTCGTGGCCGCCGCGATGGCGTGAGCGGCCCCACACACACAATCCCCCCCCCCCGACCCCCCCCCCCAAGCGTCGCGGCCGACGCCCCCACAAGGTCGGCCGCCTGGGCGCCCCCGCTCTCTCCGGAGAGCGCCGCGGGCGCGTCCTCTAACATGTAGCTACCAGGAGGAGCCGCGGGCGTGGTCCTCTCGCGCGTAGCTAGCTACCTGTCGTCGACAAGAGTTAGGCTATACTTGCGCGTCGAGGATCGCGAGGTTCTTCCTCGCACTCTCATCGCCCTTGGCAGCGGCGCGCTCGAACCAGTATCTGGCTTTGCCGAGGTCGACTTCCGTGCCGTCTCCGCGCATGTAACAAACGCCAAGGTTATACTCTCCATTGGTGAAGCCTTGATCCGCCCCGAGCGCGTAGTACCGGAACGCTTCTTCAAATCTCTTCTCAGAGTAAAGTAAACACCCTAAACTGGTTTGTCCGTACGCGTCGCCCCGATCCGCGGCCATGCGAAACAGCCGCTCCGCCTTCTTCTTGTCCAGCTTGACGCCACTTCCAAGCTCGTACAATTTCCCAAGGGCCTTCATCGCCAGCACGTTCCCGAGCTCCACTGCGCGCTTCCACATCTTTGCGGCTTTCTTATCAGATTTCACGAGGCCGTAGTGACCGCAGCGGTACGCATCTGCCAAACACGAAATCGCTTCCGGCACCTCGTTCTCCACATGGCGGCGAAGTTGCGCGAGCTCCTCCGCCTGGGTCTCCGCGCACGGTACACGACAGAGGGGACAGGCGCCGTTGCCGATCTTGCCCCGGCACGATTGGCAGACCTTTCGGCAGCAACAAATGCGAAGCACGCCCGGAGCATTCACGTCCCAGTCCTCGAGACAGATCGGGCACCGCGAGCCCCACCGCGCCGAGAGCGGCTCCCGCTCCGGGTCCGCCTCGCGCCGGGCACGAGCGGCCTCGTGTTCCGCCGCGATGCGCGCGCGGACCTCGTCGGCGTGCGACCGCGGCGCGGGTCCGTAGAACACGTCCCGCGGCGGCGACGGCGGGGGCGTCGGCGCTTCCGCCGCGCGCTTCCGGATCTTCTTGCAGGCCTTCCGGTGGCCCCGGTCGCGCCAGTCGATCCGTTGGCAATCTGTACTACAATATTGTGTCGTCCCGCACGGACAATTCAGCAAGGTCTTCGGTTTCACCCCACAAATCGTGCACGTCAAACGCAGCTGTAGCGCTTTCGCCCGCGCCTTCTTCTCTTCGTATTCGCGCTGCTTCTCGACGTACTCGGCCTTCATGATCGTTTGCGGGGCGGCGCGCGGGGTGTGGGGCGAAGGGCGATCACGCAAGGGCAAAATCGCTCAAAATCTGACCCCAGGCCTCCAAGGCGTAATCCAGGTGCCCCTAGAGCATCGCGCTCATGTCGTTCTCCATGCCCCCTCGGCGGCGGCGTCGTCCTTGCGCCAGGCGGGCTTCGCGCTCAAGGACGCCAGAATTCAGACCGCGAAGGTCGGCGCGGAGAGGAACGCGGCGGCGGCCAGGCACGACTCCGAGTCGCCTGCGCGCAAGCGCAGCGTCTCGGGCTCGGGCGACGACGCGGCGTGAAGACTTAGGCTATACTCGCGCGTCGAGGACCGCGAGCTCTTTTATAGCACTCTCGTCGCCCTTGGCAGCGGCGCGCTCGAGCCAGTATCTGGCTTTGCCGAGGTCGACTTCCGTGCCGTCTCCGTCCCTGTAGCAAATGCCAAGGTTGAGCTCTCCAAGGGTAAAGCCTTGATCCGCCGCGAGCGCGAAGCACCGGAACGCCTCTTCAAATTTCTTCTCAGAAACAAGTAAAAACGCCACATTGTTTTGCGCGAGCGCGTCGCCCCGGTCTGCGGCCGCGCGATACAGCCGCTCCGCCTTTTTCTTGTCCAGCTTGACGCCACTTCCATGCTCGTAAAATTCCCCAAGAAATACCATCGCGTCCACGTTACCAAGCTCCACGGCACGCTTGTAAATCTTCGCGGCTTTCTTATCGGATTTTACGAGGCCGAAGTGACCTTCGCGGTACGCACTTCCCAAAAACTCAATCGCTTCCGGCACTTCGTTCTCCACATGGCGGCGAAGACGCGCGAGTTCTTCCGCGTGGGTCTTCACGCGCGGTAAGCGACAGAGGGGACACGCGTCGGTTTCGATCTTGTCCTCGCACGATCGGCAGACCATTCGGCAGCAGCAGCTGCGAAACACGCCCGCAGTATTCACGTCCCACTCCTCGAGGCAGATCGGACACCGTGACCCGAGCCGTGACGACAGCGGCTCCCGCTGAGGGTTCGCCTCGCGCCGCGCCCGCGCCGCCTCGTGCTCCGCCGCGATGCGCGCGCGGACCTCGTCGGCGTGCGACCGCGGCGCGGGGCCGTAGAACACGTCCCGCGGCGGCGACGGCGGGGGCGTCGGCGCCTCGGCCCGCGCCGCCTCCGCGGCCTGGATCTTCTTGCACACCTTCCGGTGGCCCCGGTCGCGCCAGTCGATGCGTTGGCAGTCCGTCGAACAGTAGGCCGTCGTGCCGCAACCTAAACAAGCCTTGGCCTTGTCCGCACCGCAGATCGTGCAGGTCTTGAGAGTGTCGAGTTTTTTGCCCCTCGCTCGGGCCATGCGATTCTCATACTCCAACTTCTTCTCCCGCCACGACATGACTTGGTGCTGTCCTTGCGCCGCGATGGCACCCTGCTCGGCGATCGCAATGGCAAAATCGCACTAGGCCGATCCTCCCGATCGTGCTCCCGCTCCCCGCTCCACTACCCTAGCCCTTCCCTTTGATCCTCCCTCCCTTCGATTCCTCCCTGCGCCGCGGCTAAGCAAAATCGCTCAATTCTTACCCGACGACCCCTCCGACGTCGTCGTCCTTCCCGACGCGGAGCGCCGCGGACGCGTCCTCTAACATGTAGCTACCAATCATTATCGTCCTTCCAGACGCAGCACGCGACGCGCCGGTCGTCCCGCGACCAGACCAGCCGCTGGAGGTTCTCGAAGCTCGCGGGCGAGAACGCGAGCGTCGCCGTCCGCGCGAAGGACGAGGGCAGCGCGAGCCCCGTCGTCGTGCCCTTGAGGCCGAGGACGTGGGCGCTGCGCGCGAGCGCGAGCCAGTCGGCCGCCGCGGCGGCCAGCAGGAGCCATTCGCTTGGCGTCGGCTCCGCCTTGAGCCACGTGTCGTAGATGGGCGGCGCGAGGCCGTCGAAGTAGCCCACGGCGACGCCGGGGAAGGCGGTCCGCAGCGCGGCCGCGAAGCGCCGCTTGACGACGGCGCTGTCCGCGGCGACGAAGACGCGGTCGCCCGCGCCGCAGCCGAGGCGCGCCGCGCGGAGCCGCCGCGCCAAACACGTCCACTTCTGGAGCGCGCGGCGCGACCCGAGCCAGGCGGCCGCGGCCGCGTCGCCGCGCAGGGTCGCGTTCTTGGACTCGATGAAGTCGAGCGTCCGGAGGTGGACGGCCGCCGCGGACGGCGCGGCCGGGTCGCCGCCGACGAAGGCGTCGCGGAGCGCCGGGCCCGCGCGCGCCGCGGCCGTGCCGTTGACGTCCTCGACGAGGTCCCGCAGGATCGCGCGCCGCAGGCACACGAGCGTGCCGCAGGACGACCGGGCGAAGAGGTCCGCGAGCGTACCGTCGTAGCCGGTGTCCGGCTTCGAGTTGCGCCAGCCGAAGGTCGAGTAGCGCACGGTGCCGCCGTCGTCGTCCATGGGCGTCCGCAGCGCCCGGCCGCCGGGCCGCACGCGGTGCAGGCGGGTCCGGTTCGGCGTCCGCAGCGCGCGGCCGCCGGGCCGCACGCGGTGCAGGCGGGTCCGGGGCCGCCGGTTCGCCGGCCGGCCCGGGTCGTTCCGGGGTTCGAGCCGGCAGCGGACGATGGCGCAGAATTTCGCGACGATCGTGCTGTGGACGACGAGCCGGCGCTTGCGATGGGACGCCTCGATGGCGGCCCGCGCGTAGGCGTCGAGCGCGTTGCCGAGGCCCACGTAGTTGTCGAGGCGCCAGACGAGCGGCGCGTCGAACGTCCGCTGCCACGCGTATAAGACGGACGACGGCTTCGGCGCGAGCCACTCGCTGCGGCGCCAGCCGCGCGGCATGGCGACGCCGGCCTGCGCGATCCGCGGCGCCGGCGCGTCCCAGGCGCCGCGCAGCGCGCCGTCGGACGGCGACGCGACGCGGCCCGAGACCTCCGCCGGGTCCGCCGGCGCGCCGCAGTAGTCCCGCGATGCGCGCGGTTGCTGCTCGGCGCAGTCGCCGCGGTGCTCGCGGTGCGCCCGCGCTGCGACGAGCAGCACCGCGAGGGCTGCGACGGTAATCATCGCATCATATGCAGCCCTCGATGGGCACCATCGCGGCACTATCGCGGCGGTGTTGAGCAAGTTGCAGTCGACATTGCCGGGGGCCGCGGGGCAGAATCGAGCCATGCGTAGCTCGATGATGCGATCTATTCTCGTCCTCTGCGGCGGCGCCGTCGCGCTGCGCACGCCGGCGCCGCTGCGCACCCGCGCGCGCCGCGGCGCCGTGACCATGAAGTGGGGCGAGCACATCGGCGACCACGACTTCCTGCGCAACGCCGACGGCCGGCCGAGCCAGCTCCAGCGCGACCACGGCAAGCTCGTCATCACGCTGGCGACGACGGGCAACATCAACACGCGCGAGAACAACCCGGACCTGCCCTGCTCGCCCCGGGAGATGGCCGACGACATGCACGAGTGCATCAAGCTCGGCGTGTCCGTGCTGCACATCCACAGCCGCAACGAGCTGCTGAAGCCGACGATGCGCGTCGACAAGTTCCGCGAGACCTGCCGCCTCGTCAAGGAGCGCGACCCCGACGTGATCCTCCAGATCTCCACCGGCGGCCGCGCGCCGCTGGACGGCGTCGACGTCGGCACGTGGCGCATGGATCCGCTGAACCTGTTGCCGGAGATGGGGTCCTACACGCCCGGCTCCGTCAACCTCGGCCCCATCGTCTACCAGAACGACGCCAAGCTCACGCGGGACATGGCCATCAAGTACCAGGAGCTCGGCATCAAGCCGCAAATCGAAGTCTTCGACACGAACATGATCTCGAACGCGCAGAACTTGGTCAAGCAGGGCCTGCTGACGCCGCCGCTCGAGTACGGCTTCGTCATGGGCGCGCCCAACGCCCAGGAGTGCTCGCCGCGCCAGCTCGGCCACCTCCAGTCCATGCTCATGCCCGGCGACACGTGGACGGCCATCGGCGTCGGGAAATTCGAGATGCCGCTCGCCTACATGGCCATCGCCGCGGGCGGCCACGTGCGCGTGGGCCTCGAGGACAACAACAAGCTGCCCGACGGCCGCGTCGCGACGAACTACGAGCTCGTGAAGCACGTCGTCGACATGGCGAAGATGATGGGCCGGGAGATCGCGACGCCGGCCGAGGCGCGCGAGATCCTCAGCATGGACCCGGCCAAAATCGACCGCATCGTGCCCCAGCTCGACCCGGCCATGGACCTGCGGGACCTCGTGACGGACTACCACCCCTACAAAGACCTCGAGCCCATCGGCGGCTGGTCGCTCGAGATGCGGCCCACGGCGAGCCACCCGGAGCACCCGGACTACGCGCCCAAGGAGGTCGCCGTGGCGCGCTAGAAGAAGCGTGCGTGTGTGTGTGTGCGCGGTCGCTTCTAAAAAGGTGCCCGCGACAAGGTGCCCGCGATAAGGTGCCCGCGAGGTCCCGAGCGGCGCGAGGCCAGCGAACTGCAAGCAGACTGCAATGTGTCGACTCCTTGACTTTTGGGCAATGGCGATGGCTCGGTGCTAGAGAAGTCCTGCGCTTCCTTGCGTTACAGCGCTGCGTCCGATCCGCACAGCTGCTGCGCCTCCGTCGAGTCGCGCCGCGCCGCCGCACACCATGAGCAAGCTCACGTACCCCGACGAGCTCGAGGCCATCAGCAACGCGCAGTGGATGGAGCTCCACGGCGACCAGCTCGCGCGCGGCGGCGTCCCCCCGGCGCTGCACGCCGTCGTCGCGAAGAAGCTCAACGAGGAGCGCTTCGACGCCTTCGAGACCCTGGCCATGGACGACGCGGAGGAGGACACGCGGATCCTGCGGTACTGGGGCGAGCGACCGGTCGCCGCGTACGAAACCGCGTGGGTCGGCGACCACTGCCTTCGCTTCGGCCACCAGCGCGACGCCGACGGCGCGCTGAAGGCGCACCCGGGCCTGCGGCTCCGCTTCGGCTCCATGGCGCACTGCGACGACGACGACGTGCTCGACCTGTGCGTCTGGCGCTTCGCGAAAGCTTTGCCGCGAGTAGTGAAAGGCCCGCCGACGTTCTACCTCGAGGACGAGCTCGGCTGCGCCTTCGACTACGACGACACGCCAAACGGCGACAAGCCCGGCCCGCGCATGGGTTCCGCCGTCGTCGTCTGCCGGAGATCGGGCGACTCGTTCACGGTCTACTGGCCGACGACGCCCCTGACGAAGGGCGACGCGCCCGTCCGCGACCCGTTCCCGGCCCACGCGCCCGGCGCGCGGCGCGACGCGCTCGTCGCGGCGCGCAACGCCATGTACGGCGCGCGCATGTTCCGGAGTATTCTGACGCCCGAGGGCGGACCGTCCGCGAAAGACCGCTGGGCCGCGGCGCTCGCGGCGCGCGACGAGCAGACCTTGCAGTGGCGCGCCGCGGCGGAGGAGAAAACGGTCGAAAACGAGCCCGGCGCGCCGCGGCCCCGCGACGGCGTCGACGGCGCAGCGCTCAAGGTGTTCACGGACGCGGATTGGGTGAAAAACGAGCTGCGGCACGCGGCGTTCGCGCTCGTCGACGACGTCGCCGCGGCGGACATTGTTTTTGTGCACAGCGGCGGGGGCCAGTACGCGTCCAAAATTACGAAGGATCAGAAGGTGTCCTGGTACGCCTACGAGGCCGCGCTCATCCGCAAGGACCATCTGGCTTCCACGCTCCGCATGGCGGGCCTCGAGGACCTGGCGCCGCGGCCGACCTTCGACCTCGAGACGGAGCTTGACGCGGCGTTGGGCGCCATGGCCGCCGAGTACACGCCCCTGCCCGTGCCCGCGGAGGTCCCGGTCAACCCGTTCTACATGCTCAAGCCCTACGACCTCGGCCGGTCCATCGGCCACTGCTGCACGAACTCGAAGCACTGCGTGCTGGCCTACGCGGACGCCGGGGGCTACGTGCTCCAGCGCTACGTCGAGCGGCCCCACGCGCTGCCCGCGGCGCTCGGCGGGGCTCCCGGCCGCAAGTACGACGTCCGCGTCGTCGCGCTGCTGCGCTCGGCCTCGCCGCTGGAGCTCTACGCCCACGACCACGTCTACGTGCGCGCGGCGAACGAGGCCCACGACCTGGCGAAGCTCGACGACGTCGCCGTGAGCCTCACGGCCATGCACCTCGTCGGCGCCGAAGCGCGGCACCCGAAGACGGCGGACTTCGTCGCGGCCTTCGACGCGGCCCACCCGGACCGGCCCTTTTGCGACGTGCTCGCGGACTGCCGGGACACGCTCCGCCGCGTCTTCGCCGCGGCGGCGGACCAGCACGCGGGCTTCCGGGACGCGTCGCCGACCGCGCGCGCGGCCTACGGGTGCGACTTCCTCCTCGACGAGGACCTCAAGCCCTACCTCCTCGAGATCACCTTCGCGCCCGCGCCCCTCTGGTCCAGCGCCGACATGCCCGAGGTCGTCCCCGGCGTCGCCGACGACATCTTCGCCTGCCTCTTCCTCGGCGCCGGCGACCGCGTCACGCGCTGCTAAGCGGCTTAGGGTTTTTTTTCTCACATGATGGCGCACTTGCGCGTGCAGTCTGTCGCGGACGCGCAGTCCGTCTTCCGTCGCGGCGGCGGCGGCGGCGGCACGGGGTAGTCCACGTACTGGCCGTCGTACCTGCGCGGATCTTCTTTGAATGGATCGCGTGCGAAAAAAACGCGGGCAGACGCGCGTCATGCCCCGCGGCACGGCCTCGACGCTCGGCGGCGGCTGGCTCGGCGACCGCGCCGGCTCGATGACGGCCGTCGTCGCGTCCCTCGGCATTCTTTTTCGATCGGGGCTGCGGGCGACAGCTCTCCCTGCGAAGCCGGTGAGGCGGGTGGGGTTACGGAACGGCATCGTGCTGTTGCCGCCGATGTATCCGAAGCTGCGGAGCTCCGCGGAGAGCCGGACTCTCGGCGTCTCGGGCGCGCGTGCTTTTTCTCGAGCGGTCCGGTCCGGTGCTCCGGCGGCGCCGGGGGTCGCCGTCGTGGCGGCTCCGGCACCGTAGGCGGGCCGCCGTCCCGGCTCCTCGACGTCCGCGCCGTTTCGGTGACGCCCGCCTCCGCCATTTTCCGCCGAATCGTCGGGCCTCGTCCACGATTGGTTCCGGGCCGTCCGCTGCTCGGCGGCGCCTGAGCGGTGGGACCGGGCCCGCCATGGGGAACGTGAACGTCGGCGGGGCGCGGGGCCCGCGCCAGTCGTCGCGGGACCGCGCGCCGGCGGCCGGCGCGCCGGGCGGCGCGTCGCCGAGTCGCGACGCGCGGCCCAAGAGCGACGCGCCGCCCGAGGCCGGGGGCGCCTGGGACGTGTCCGCCGTGTCGAGCCTCATCGCCGAGGGCAGGCTCAGCGGCGCCCGCGACGGCAGCGAGAAGTGGCGGCACGGCGCCGTCGAGTGCCCGATCTGCTTCCTCTACTACGACGGCGTCAACGCGGCGAGCTGCTGCCGCCAGCCCATCTGCACGACCTGCTACCTCCAGGTCAAGCCCCAGCGCGCGCACGTGCCCTGCCCCTTCTGCAGTCGCGACGACTTCGAGGCGCACCTCCACGTCTTCGATTCCAAGGACCGCAAGGACGAGTCGCCGCGGCCTTCCCCGCGGCCCCCGTGCCCGAGGGCCGAGGCCAAGGAGGAGCGCAAGGACTTCGACGACGACGACGACGCGCCGAAGCACGGCGCCGGGTCGCCGAGTCCAAGGGCTCGCCCGTGCCCGAGGCGCGCGCGCCCGACGCGAAACACGCCTCCGGCGCGAAGACGACGCCGACCGCGTCCGTCGAGGAGCGGCTCCGCGTCGAGGAGCAGATGCGCGCCCAGCTCGCGTTAGCCCGGGAGCGCGGCGACTCCATGGACATCGTGGAGGCGCCCCTGCCGCGGTCGCTCTTCGGCTCGTCGTCCGGCGCGCTGCCGCGCGGCGGCCGCGGCTGGCGCACGCGGGGCCCCTTCGGCGCCGGCAGCCTGCTGCGCCGCCAGCGCGCCGCCGCCGCGGGCGGCGGCGAGGGCGGGCCGTCCCTCGACGAGCTCCACGCGCTGCTCCACAGTTTGGGCGCGTCGACGGACCTGCAGCACGTCGAGGACAGGGCAGCAAAAGAGAGCGAAATTCCCAACTTCAAAGGCTCATTTCTCGGCCGTTTTCCACTCGTTTCGGCTGATTTTTGGACGAGCGATCATCTCTCGGAGCGGCCTCGACAGCGTGGGCGCTTTTTCCGGAACGCGCGCGCGCGGAACACTCACGTTGAAGCGACGTTGAATCACCCTTTTGCTGCCCAGGTCGAGGACCTCATGGTCCTCGAGGCGATGCAGGCGTCCATCGAGGACGAGGACCGGCGGCGGCAGCGCGAGACCGAGGGCGGCGACGACGCCGCGGCGGCGCCGGCGGCGGCGGCGGAGGACGACGACGAGGACCTGCTGCTGGCCATGCGCGCGTCGCTCCGCGACGCCGCGCCCGCGGCCGACGGCGCGAGCGCGCCCGCGCCCGCGCCCGACGAGACCGGCGACGCCGCCGCGCCGGGCGCGCCGCCGTCGCCGCGGCCGGACGGGTGACGCCTTCGTTCCGGACCTTTCATCTTGCGATGCACACAGCCCCCCCCACATCCGCGCGCGCCGGCGCGGCGCGCGGCGCGGCGCGCGAATCACACAGACCCCCCTTTCCGCAACCTAACCTGTCCCGACCTTTTACGGCGCGCGCGGGTCCGCGGGCATGGGCCCCCGGTGGCGCGACTTCGTCATGGCGACCATGTTCGGGTGGTCCGCGTGGAGGTGCGCGCGCTGGTGCGAGTTGAGCACGTTCTCGTGGCCGCTCTGGCCGCGGACGTGGTGGACGATGCCCGGGATGCGGTCGCCGTGGCGCGTCACGGAGTAGCCCGCCGCGAGGACGCAGGTCATGACGCGGTGGTCCGCGTTCGCGCACTGGAGCGCGTACATGCAGTGCTCCCAGTGCGCCCGCGGGATCGCGTCGAGGAGCCCCCGCGAGAGCACGTAGCCCGCGCCGCCGTAGGGCCAGAGCTTCGCGAAGTGGGGCCGGAAGGCGCCGTCGCCGTCGACGCGGTAGGGGTAGCCCCGCGAGACGCCCGCGGGCCAGGGCGTCGTGCGGCAGCAGTAGTTCGTGACACCGCGGTCCGGGCAGATTTGCGGTAGGAACGTCCGCGCGGCCTTGTCGTACTCCCAGATGGCCTGGGGCCCGGACACGCGGGCGCGGCAGGGGCCGGAGGGGTCGCTGCAGCAGGACCAGTGCGTGGCGTTGCTGCTCGCGCGGCAGGGCACCTCGTTGTGGCCCGGGCCGACGCGGCCCGCGAGGAGGAGCGGCACCGTGGCGTCTAACGCGGCTAGATACGTCGCGACCTGGTTCAGCTCGACGTGGTTGTCGTCGTCGACGACGAGGAGCCACTTGCTGTCCGGCCACGTGTCGTTGGCCACGAGGACCCCGGCGACCGTGCGGTGCGCGCCGAAATATTTTCCTATTCTTTCGTACGTGGGCTTCGCGCAGTGCGTGTCCGCGCAGCCCGGGTTGTCGTCGTAGTTCACGTACATGAGCTTGCGGCCCATGCCCCAGACCTCGTCGTCGCCCTTGGCGCCGCCGACGATGACGTGGGGCACGCTCGCGTCGAGCCAGGGCAGGCGCCGGCTCGTGTTGCCGTCCTCGACGAGGCCGCTGTGGACGACGACGACGAGGTCCCGCGGGCCCAGGTCCTTGATGCGCGACGCGCGTCGCGGCGCGGCGAGCAGGAGGAGGAGGAACCGGCGGCAGCAGATCATGGGCTCGTCTCAGCGCATGAGCATCGCGATGGCCAGAGCGGGCAGCCTTGACATCTTGACGGCTCGATCACTGCAAGGGGGCTCCACTGCCTTTTGGGCCGACAGCCGATGTTTCAGCCGCTGGAAATCGACGATGTCTGGCCCTCGCGCCGGCTGTACTGCAGCGATTTCGACGCGGTAAAGCCCTAACGTTCCACACATGGACCCGACGCGTCGGTCTGCCTATTTTTTTCCGGCGCGCGGCGCGTCTGCGCGCGAGGAACACTGGTGGTGGCGGCACGGAGCGACTGCAATCGGTGCGGTCCAGCGTTTCTGCGCGCCCACTGGCTTCGTAGCGTGCCGTTTTGCGATGGGAGCTGCTTTGTATATGTCTCGACGTGTTCCAACCCGCGGGTGCGCTGGGAGACGGATTTCGCACGCGCTCGCGACCTCGACGCGGTGGCGCGAACGCTGTACCGAGATCATGACGTGCTTTTGTACGTCAAAACAGACTTCTCCGAGAGCGCGCGAGCTACGACGGCTGACGAACGGGCCCCTACGACTCGCCCAAGGTGTCGGACGCGTCCCTGCGACTCGTTCTGGCTTGCCGACGGTTTCGGGGTCGTTTTCGGTGCCCGAGAGGCGCTGTTTTCGCCGACGAGAAAACGCTGCCGTCGCGCGGTCTTTTTGGCCGGACCGTCGCGTATGGTCATGCCGACGTGCGCGCGGCCCTTTAGAGCGCCGAAAACGACTCGTGTGTCGTCGCGTAAGGGTCGGTTTGGGGCTGGATTCCCTCTAGGGATCGGACGAACGCCATCCGATCGCTGCAACACCCTCACAACTGGGCGTGAAAGTTTGCTGGGCCCTTCCTTAGGCGTACCCGCCGGTGCTTACCAATTTTTCACCATAGAAACTACCATCGTCGCGCGCACTGGCCGACGGCGCCCGCCGCTCCCGGCGTGATCCCCAGCCAACTCGCTCGGGCCGCTCTCCGAGCAGCTCAGAGAGCATGTGACAAGCTTTGAGACCTTTTACAGCCGCTACAGCATGGATTCCAGCCGTTCCGCTTCCCACGCGCTCCAGATATGTTGCGCCGACAACGCGGTGCAAAAGTAGTCGCGCGAACGCGGTCGCGCGCGTCCGAAATCGGCTCAAAAGGGATCGATTTGCGACCATACCCTACGATCCCAGACTTTGCGCGAGTTCGGGCGTGCCAGGAGTCGCAGGGGCGTCGATCGTGTCCTATCGTAACCCCATCGTCGCGCTGCGCAAGCGGTTCCGCGTCTTGGCGTCCGTCGGCGTTTTGGCAGCGTTCGCGGTCGTGTCGGCGTTTCGGCGCTCGTCTCGAACGCGCGGCCGCGGAGTCGAAA